TTTACATGACTGTCGTCTCAAACCAGGTTCATAAGGAAATGGATTACTTTATAAAAGATAAGCTGCTTCTGGAGCGGGTCCTGGGGATGGAGTTCATGGAGCCCATGGAGAGGAGCATCTTCTACAATGGTGACTCCTCAACCCTTGCACGTTTGGGGAGGCGGAGGGAGCTTAAGTCGTTTTCTTATTGATTTTTGTAATTTTATAGAAACAAGAGAACTTTGTTAACTCAGCCTCATGGGACTATAGTCGTTCCTGTGTTCCATTTTATTTTGGTGAGGCACATGGTGAAAGCAGTTTAGAAGCCACTGCTCGTGAGCATGGCTACTGAAGTCTGTAACACATTATACTCTGGAGCATAGTGCAGGCTGAATTAAAGAAATGAGCCAGGCATTAAGAATACAGCTTCAGAGTCTTCTGCCCTGAGGTTAAAGCCCAACTCGACACCTGCTAGAGACACACTTTGTGAACTTCAAAGTGTCGTTTAACCTTTCTGAATATTTAAATCCCCTTCACTCTAAACTTGGTATGACCTTCTAAAAGGTTTTTGGAATTTTCACATATAAAGAACCTAAAGCAGAATATGAGTAGGTGCCAGGAGAGGGGAATTATGGGTAAGTGACAGGAGAGGGGTGTTGTGGGTAGGTGCCAGGAGAGGGGAATTATGGGTAAGTGACAGGAGAGGGGTGTTATGGGTAGGTGCCAGGAGAGGGGAGTTATGGGTAGGTGCCAGGAGAGGGGAGTAGGAGTTTACCAGAAATGTTGGTAGAAAGGCAATAGCAAAGAAAAATTAAAGCTGGGCCTGGCACCCCTGTAATTCCATCTCCTCAAGTCTCAGGTCAGCCTGAGTGCCATGATGAGATCACATCAACAAAGAAGAAAGGAGCCTGTGTGTGTGTAGAGAAGTGCATACATTGTAAGGGTCTTGATGACAGCTCAGTGACTTTCCACAAGCTGGATCATTCTCGTTCCTAGCACCTGCAGTGTGACAGATGGCGCCAGTGCCCTGACGTCACCACCTTGTATTAAACAGACCCAGTTCCCTGACGTCACCACCTTGTACTAAACAGGCCCAGTTCCCTGACGTCACCACCTTGTATTAAACAGGCCCAGTTCCCTGACGTCACCACCTTATACTAAACAGGCCCTTGCCGGACTTCCCTGGCAGTGTTGGTTCTCTGAACCCCTAAATTGTGGATAGCACTTGTGTCTGTCTGTTGATAGTTTTCCCATGGTAGCGGGGTCTGCAGCACTGATCAGGTGTTTTACAGGGGTGTTCCCATCCCACAAAGGACAGGATTGTGTGTGCAGTGCAGTGCAGTACAAAGAGAGACAAAACTGTAGGAAACTGAGGCAGAAACTCTAGAACCCTTGTGCCAGCCTTGCAGGACTTTAACCTGACTCTGGATCTTATGCGTGGTTTTGCAGACGAAGGCCATTCTTTCAGCAGCGTGCTGTATTATGGAAACGAGGCCACGCTCCTTATCTTTGATTTGTTGTTCTTCTGTGTTGTGGACTTGGCTTGCCAGAATTTTGTTTTAGCGTCCTTCCTCACGTACCTGCAGCAAGAGGTAAATCTCCACACATATTCTGGGCTCCTCTAAAGCAGAGTGTTAGAAGTGTGGGTCTTTTTCTTTTCTATTTTATTTAAATTTTTTTTTTCATTTTACATACCAACTACAGTTCCCCCTTCCTCCCCTCATCCCACTCTCCCCAGTCAACCTCCCATCTACTCCTCAGAAAGGGTAAGGCCTTCCATGGAGAGTCAACAAAGTCTGGCATATCAGATTGAGGCAGGACCAAGCTCCCCCTCACTGTCTCAGGGCTGAGCAAGGTGTCCCTCCACAGGGAATGGACTCCAGAGAGCCAGTTCATGCACTAGGTAAATACTGGTCCCACATTCAGAGGGCCTAGTTCAGCCTCATGCAGGTTCCCCAGCTGGCAGTCCAGAGTCCGTGAACTCCACTAGCTCGGGTCAGCTGTCTCTGTGGCTTTCCCCGTCATGGTCTTGACCCCTTTGCCCATATAATCCCTCCTCCCTCTGGTATTTATATTCTTAAAGAACGTATGACCAGGTTTCGGGCATATTTGGAATATGATCAACCCTGCCAAGGAAAGGAGGAGCCATTCAGGAGATCACACTCTGCACTCTGTCCCTGGGGACAGTAAAATGCCAGGATCCACTTGAGGGCAGAAGTTCCTTGAGCAACCAGGAAGATACTTAGCTACCAGTCTCCTACATGCCAAAAGTGAACGCTAGTTATTATGAGTTCCATTCACACAAAAAACAACAAGCCCTAGAGAAGCCATTCAGGGCTGCGCACCACCAGCTCACACAATCTCCCCTGTGTGCATAGTAAAGAACTGCGTGGGTAAAACCTCTGAGACGGAAAGTTCACGAGATGGCAGCTGCTCCTGGAATACCGCCTGAGTGAAGGAAGGCGTGCCTTAGGGCCTGCTTTATTATTCCTGGATAGAGGTCTAGAATCAGGCACAAATTCTATCTTTACCAAGGACATGCTTTTGATGTTTCTTTAGTTTTAGACAGTTAAAAAAATTCCTTAAGTATTTAAAAGTATGTTCTTGTGAATATGAGAGGTATATATTAATTCATAAAAGTATTTCCTAATATTTTATAGTTTAAAAATGATTGCATCAAGTAATTAAAATACTCATTCGAGACAAGAAAGGATTGAGAAAACTGATTTAGATATTTAAAATTGAATTGCATATTTAATTTTTTATGAATCTTTAATTTCCTTCTCAACTGTTTTATTTTTCTAGATTTTTCGATTTATCCGCAATATAGTAGGACAAAAGAATTTGGCAACCAAAACTCTAGTGGATGAGAGATTTCTTATCTGACCTGTGCCTACAGAACTTACGGACTGGGTATAACTGTGGCATGAGCCGTGATGTCAGTTATACTTTTTAAAACTTGTAAGCCGGGCCGTGGTGACGCCTTTAATCCCAGCACTCGGGAGACAGAGGCAGGAGGATCTCTGTGAGTTCGAGGCCAGCCTGGTCTACAAGAGTGAATTTCAGGACATGTTCAAAAGCTCCAGAGAAACCCTGTCTCGAAAAACCAAAAAACTTGTAATACATATTATTCTTTCATTTTTTTATATACAGAAAAACTTATTTTTATAGCTTGTAAATATGAAATATAGTAGAGAGTATATTTCCCCATTATGTATTGTATTTAATTTACTAAGTATTACATTGGCACTGACCATAGGACAGATAAAGGGAAGGAAGGAGGAAAGAGAAGCGTGCGGCTTTCTGTGGTCGGGCGTGATGACAAGCTAGCCGCCATCACTTGTTATCATGAGGACCCTGGTCGGCCTACGTTTTCTCAGAGTGACAAACCTAGTTGATTCTAGGTTCAGAGCTAGTGTGTAGTACAGTATTTGCATGTTTTACTTATAATTAAATAAACATTTAAAGATACTTTCCAATTTACTTAACATTTCTGGCTTGTATTATTACTGCTGCAGTCACCCCTGTTTGTGGGTGGGCGGGTTTCTATTGGACAGAATGATGTGGTGCAGTACAGCCCAGTACGAGCGTGCTCTCTCGTGTTATTTACATTTATTGATGCTGTAGGAAATCCTACAGCCAGTGGCCTGTAAGTTGTCCGCCCACTGGGGCATGGCCTCTTATACTATTTATGCCCACGTAAAGGGTGCGTCCAGCCTCTCTTCTGGTGCGGGATTCGGTTGCTGTTCTCCGTTCAAGCAGAGGATATTGATTTGTGAGTCTACCCCTAAATAAATAACCATCTATTATTCTCAATTCTGAGCTAGTGTGGGATTTCTTTTAAGCATCCTTCTTCATATTTTAAACTGCGTGATTTTTTCCCAATGTAGGATTTTCCCCACGTTTTAATATTTTAAGAGTACTGCTTTTCCGTTATGAATGACAGACCATACATATACCTTGTTATATTGACCAATTTGTTGAAGGCAAATTTAGGCTTCAGAAGTCAGTAGCTTATTTTTTGGTTTTTTTTGTTTTGTTTTGTTTTTGGAGACAGTTTCCTGTGTAACCCTGGAACTCACTCTGTAGACCAGGCTAGCCTCAAACTCAGAGATTTGCCTGCCTCTCCCTCAGAGTGCTGGGATTAAAGGTGTGTGGGCACCACCCCCCTAGCCTACTGTCTTATTTTTAATAAGGAAAAAAATGGATTCAAAATACAGTAGCCTGACAGTGGTGGCGCACACCTTTAATCCCAGCACTCACAAGGCAGAGACAGAGGGATCTCTGGGTTCAAGGCCAGCCTAAACAGAGTGAGTTCTAGGACAGCTGGGGGTATACAGAAAAACCCTGTCTCAATAAATAAATAAATAAATAAATAAATAAATAAATAAATACAGTTAAAATAAGTTCTAAACCATATAGTTAGTCATTTTCTCTTTTCTGTTTTTCTCCTCAAGATACTCTTAAGTAGTCTTTCTGTGTCCTGCCATAACGTAGAGGACCCTGGTACTGTAGGATAATTCCCCATCCCAGAGCTGGCATCATGACTGCTCTACCGTGACGCAGCACTGTGTGTACTGTATCTAGTTGTGAATTGAAAATGTGTAATAAATCATTACACTTCGGTTTCCTTTTTGACTTATGTACTCAGAAGACCTAGCATTCAAGAATGTCGTGTGTCAGGGCAGGGGATCCAGCCACCGCCCAAGCTGGATCTTTCATTTTCCCTTAGTTTTTGGATGACTGAGCAGAGAAGGACAGGAGTAAAAAGCTGGGTCACTGGAACTGTGGTTTCTGAAGGACCCCATGGCAGGATGTCTTTATAAAAGCCACAGAGGTACATGAGGCAGCGGAGAGTTTTAAAACAGTGTCAGCCCCCACTCCACACCCACAGCACAGAGTCAGCCCCACTCCACACCCGCAGCACAGAGTCAGCCCCCACTCCACACCTACAGCACACAGTCAGCCCCCAGCACAGAGTCAGCCCCCACTCCACACCCACAGCACATGTCAGCCCCCACTCCACACCCACAGCACATGTCAGCCCCCACTCCACAGTAAACAACCACTGCTAAGTAAATGTCAGCACACAGGGTCTGGTTCTACACTGCTGAGAATGGAAAGGAAACCCCTTAAAATCCACTCTGAATTAGTGTTGCGTGTTTCTTCATCCCTAGCTTAGATCCTGTGTTCCTGTTGCACAGTGTGGCAGCCGCTGGTCTCAGGGCCCGCTTCAACTGTTTCCTTTTGTTCATTTCTGTAGCACGGTAACAGTTTGGCTCTGTCCCCTCACGGGGAAACAGCCCTAGGGGCTCCTTTAAGCTGTTGTGTACTTGTGTGCTTCTCAGAGAGAGGCAATCCCCCAAACCCCTGTGTAAACAGGCTGCTGCTGCTGCTGGAGGAGGCCAGGTGGGAACCCGAGTGGGGATGCACTCACTTTAGCTGAAGTGCTTTCAAGCAAGAGGCGTCTGTCTTTCTCCTGTGTGTAAATATCAAGCAGTATCGTCTGAGGGGAAGGAAATCCAAGTCACAGAGCCGTAAGCCGAGTGGCTTAATGAAGACGTGCTGGATACCAGAAGCAGCTGCGAACTCTCCAGGAAGTTACTACATCTTTACCAGAGATAGAGTAGCCTTTCCTCGCCACTCGGGGTGTCCCAGAGATTAGTACCCTTTCCTTCCCTTACCACTCGGGGTGTTCCAGAGATTAGTACCCTTTCCTTCCCTCACCACTCGGGGTGTCCCAGAGATTAGTACCCTTTCCTCACCACTGGGGGGGGGGGTCCCAGAGATTAGCATATTAAGATACTGGTTCATATCAAGATACTCTTACTGCGGTGTAGCTCAATGGTAGAACACTTGCCTGGTGTGTTAGGGTTCTCCAGAGGAACGGGACTTACGGAATGATATGTATGTATTGAATAGACAGAGGAGGGTATTAGAATGGCTCACAGGTGTTGGTCCAGCTGGTCCAGCAATGGCTGTCCACCAGGAAATGGTCCAAGAACCCAGTGTTGTTCTTTAACAAGTCTGGATGTCTTAGCTGGTCTTCAGTGAGGAATTAGGCTCTAATGCCAGCAATGGACTTGCTATTGAGACCGGGAGCAAGACAAGCAGGCAGAGGGAGAGAAAGCCAGCTTCGTTGTCCCACGTCCTTTATACAGTCCACCAGCCGAAGGTGTGATCCAGGTTAGAGGTGGACCTTCCCATCTCAGAGATCCATGGTAGAGGTGGGGCTTCACACTTGAACTGATTAAGGAAAAGCCTCACAGGTGTGCACAACCGCTTAGGGTTTACTTACCCCAGATGTAGTCAAGTTGGCAATCTAGAAGAGCAATCACACCTAACATACCTGACGTCCTGGGTCTGATCTGCAGCACCACACACACAAAAGTAAGCAAAACGCTTAAACTAGTAAGTAACTTAGGGATCTTGATGGTCTTAATTTTTAGCCCTAAATTATTATTACTATCAGCTTAAAATCTCAAAATTTATATTCTGTTTTGCTAATGAATTAATTTCATAAGATATTTATAATGGTCTCAGTAAGTGACTGTCACAGATCCTGGGCCCCTTCGGCTCTTCCAGCCTCACCACAAGGCCCCAGTAGTGGTCACAGCACAGTAGTGGTGGCAAGGAAGGAGCTGTGGCCACCCCATGCTGGAGATTTAGTTCTTGATGCGGAGTAAAGAAAGAGGGGGTGTGGGTACTGTCTCTGGAATAGGGAGGATTTCTTTCATTTGTTCCTTCCTTCCTTCCTTCCTTCCTTCCTTCCTTCCTTCCTTCCTTCCTTCCTTCCTTCCTTCCTTCCTCTTCGAAGTGTCTTGTCGCTGGTAGAGGAAAGGGAGAGATTAACCAGTAAGCACAGCTGTAGTCACAAGCTTATGACTTCAGAAAACCTATTAACTCTGCATCATCAGGCCTTCAGCCTCGGGAAAGATGTGTTTGATGTGAGATTTTAAGATAAGCCAAAAATCAAGTACATCTAAGAAAAGAAACTAGTTACTAAGAAGCCCGCAGCAGTTTAGGGTGGCACCGGTAATTAACCTTTCTTGCTTCTCCGGGAGCCAGATCTTAGAACTAGTGAGGTTAGGCTGAAGCTTGCCCACGTCATACAGACTAATTCATCCCTAGCCACACCTCAGGGAAACTTCTCTGCCTTCATCATCCCTGGGCCAGGAAACAAGATCACCAACTGGCGTAGATCTCTGAAATTTCTCAAACTATGTTTTCCTAAAGCAGTTGCCCTGCCCCGCATTGCCTGTTCATTGGACATCCCGGATAAAGCCCTCGTCCCTGCCAGTGCCTCCTTCTGATGGTGCTTTGGCTGCACTCCCTTCTGTTTCTAGATCCCAATAGGATGCCCATGTGTTGCTGTATTAGTACGTTTTCTGTTGCTGTGGAGACACCATGACCACAGCAATTCTAATAAAGGGAAACATCTAATTAGGGTGGCTCACTTACAGTTCAGAGGTTTAGTTCATTATTGTCATGGTTAGTAAGAAGCCTGGGCTAATGTACCAAGCAGTGTTATAATTAATATAGTTTCTGTGTGATTATTCAGATCTTAGCAGCCAGGAATGAATGAGCAGTCTCTGACTACAGTCCCCCCAGAACTAACAGGGAAAGACACTGTTAGGAAGTGGCTTTGTTGGAGGAAGTGTATCACTGTAGGGGTGGGCTTTGAGGTCACCTATGCTCAAGCTACTGCCCAGTCACACAGTTCACTTCCTGTTGCCTTTGGATCAAGATGTAGGACTCTCAGCGCCTTCTCCAGCACCGTGTATGCATGCACACTGTCATGTCCTATCAGGATGATAATATCCTGATTTCCTGAACGATACAGCAAAACAACTATTTATATGACATGTACATTGTAGGTATTATAAGTAAGCCAGTGAAGATTTGAAGCCTATGGGAAGATAGGTTGTATACAAGCCCTGGCATAAGGGCTTGGATAGGGATTCACCCTTGTTAGTGAACTAAGTGCAGAATAAAGCCAGAAGGTACCTCCAGGATGCCACCAAGATGGCACCATGTGCTGTCAGAGCCGTGTAGAACAAATGAACTTTCATATTATTTTCATGACTAAAGTCATCTTAATCTGACCCTTGTGAAACTTCCCCAGATACAACAGCAGGTGGCAGTAGAGAGCACACTGAGCTTTTCCCGGTTGCATGGAGCGTGTGCTTGCTGAACTACTGAGTCTACAGAAGTCTGCCTCCTCCAGCTCAAAATCAAGTCCAATGTTGCTCCTCCATCCTCCCCCTCCTCACTACCCTGCTCATGCCGACTGTAAGCACCGCAGACAGAGAATACGTTCTTGACTGGATCAACAGTCACCCAGCGCTTTGTCTGCCTCTTTCCCCTGCTTACCGTCCTCCTTAAAACTTCCAAACCATCATGGTCTTTTTCTGGGGGTCTCTTTTGTTTCAGCTGCCCCAAACCGCTTGGCTTTCTCCTCAAAGGATGCCATCCCAGCCCCTCTGTAACCAGGTGGTGGTCCTCTCTCCATCAGTACCGCTTCATTCACCCCTGCATCCGCCTTCACCTGCTCTGTCTGCCCCTCAAGGGCAGAGACCATGTCCACTTAGTTTGTTCAAAAACTTAGATCTCTAGCATGAGAACTCTATGTGGCTCACACTTTATATATGATTAACAGTAACCAGTTAATTGACTTTGGTAGATTTATGGCACATATTTCCCTGTGAGAATGAAGGTTGTATATACACAAGGGGTTTTGTCTATTTGCTGTTGCATTATATCTGATTCCAGTGCCTGGAATTCTATTACTTCCTTAAAGCATCTCAATCCACAGCTTGTCTTGTGTATAAACAAGATTACTGGGCACTTTTTTATTTCCTGCATCTCTCATTTGAATACATATATATATTGCATAACTACCTCTTAATGTTAGCAAATATTAAACACATCTTTCAATGTTGTTCCTTTTTCTTGTTTGCTGTTCTAAACTCTTAGCTGTATACTAATTATTTAAAAGAGACGTTCAGTCCCTAAGAACAAAAATTTTTATTTGCTGCATTTATACATAACGCTCAGAAGGTGGCGCAAGAGAGTCTCCTCGGAATGCTGGAATCCGCCTACTCAGAAGCCGCTACCTTTGCCTGGACCGCCTTTCTCACCTTCTGCCTTTTTACCCCTCTTAACTCCCCTCATTTTCTCCCTATCCGAGTTATTCTTCAGATCACTGACTCAAATTAAGAGATGTCCTACTGACTCTGGTTTGACCTTAACAAAGCTGGGGAGGATGCAGGAAAGTGGTCCTAACTGAAGCCCTTCCCCGAAGGTGTTTGCGCATCTCTTGTCAATGGTGGACTGAGGCACACACTGTTTAGAGAGCAGTAGTCCTAAGTATCTTATCCTTTAGTTGAGAAACACTACTTCATTCGATTCACAGATATGTTTCAGTGCACCTGCGTGTGTGTGTGTGTATAAACATGCACTTATGGGTGTGTTGCATGTTATTTGTGTGCACGTGTGTGTTCCTGTATGTGGTGGCTAGTGTCTTCCTCAATTGCTCCCCACCTTGTATTTCAGACAGACACTCACTGAACTGGGAACTTACTGAGTTATACTGGGCAGGCTTACAAGACCGCATGGACCCTCCTGTCTCCTCCGGGCTGGGATAACAGCCACATGGTGCCGTTCTTGACTTCTCCTTTTCTTCCTCATCTTATAAACCCTTATCAACTGAGCCGTATTCCCAGTTCCCAGTCCACAGCCCTGTGATGAGTTTGTACCCTCTTCTAAATTCCTGGGACTACCATCTAACTAAAACTTCAGCCCTCTATCAACTATATGCTTAGGAGAATATTCTAGAACAGTTGAAAAGGTACATGCATTTTTAAAGAGGCACTTTTTAAGTGTGTTGGCATAGATGGTCAAATTGCCTTCTGCAAAACTTGTACCAAATTACATCCCCAGCTCTGCCATCCAGTAGCGCCACTCAGCATCAAGAACAATTTACCCAGGCAGACAGCTTGTAGTATCTCACTGAGGTGATAATGTTCGTTTCCCTAAAGTGTATATTTTTCAGTGATGGGTAGGTAAGAAGTGGTATGGCCCTGTGATGATCTTAGAAATTTTAGCAATCAGTAATTTCAAAGTGCATCTTTCATTTAGTAAATAATAGCATTTTAAAATCTTTTGACTAATTCCGAGATCATCAGAAACAAGGAGGCATCATGGTCTTAAATTCAGTCTCAGAACCACACATCACGATCATTTGGAAGTGAAAAAGAAAAGTGATCGTCTAGGCAGCTCTATCACTGTAGAGTCCAAAATAGTTATGGAAAAACGTATTCAGTAAGAGCCATGCTTGTTGAATCAAACAGAAAATGAAACTGGCTTATCGCTGAAAACGGCCCTGTGTCTTTCAATTTAATCAACGTTTTGTAATACATACCTCACAATAGACGACTCAATAGGGTCACACACACACACACACACACACACACACACACACACACACACAAATCTGGAAAACCAGAAAAGAGTTACTTCAGGGAACTAATGGACAAGACAAGAGTGGGAGACTAATATTAGCAAATCAGTTTGGTAAAAAGCACAGCATTAATTCTGAAATATATATAATGCACTTAAATGAATAAAGGATGCTGATAGCATCCAAGTCTATAGAAATGATGGATAGCGGTATAATGGGAAAGGGTAAGAAAATCCTTCCATAGTTAAGCTGATAATGCGCTTTCACACTGTGGTGAAAATCCTAAGCCCCCAGCGCCATCACTGTCTGCTCTTCCCATTTGTCTGAACCTGGCCGTGTAACTGAAGATGCAGTACCTGTGCCAAGAGATGCCTCCTTGTGGTCCGGAGAACCTACAGAGCCACCGCCACTAGGCTGGGAAGGAATTGTCTATTCAATCAGCAAGCATTCAATAATAGTACCAAGGCAGGTACTGTGGGGGAGCTACTGATATCAAAGACGAGGTCTCTTTGCCCTGGGAGAGTTCAGCTGTCAGACAAGAAAGACAAAGAAATAACAAACAACAGAGATAAACCGAGACCATCTTACTGGAACCATTGATGGTCAGTCCTTGGGTATTGCCAGCAGCAAAAAAAAACTATGAGCAGCAGGCAGAGTAAGAGCAGACACACTAGCCTTGCCTGCAGACACTTGCTGGCCTGCGGCTGAGGTCTGATAACCACACCCAGGCAGTCAGAACAGGCGAGGTGGGGCGAGAAAGAGTCTCAAGGACAAACATGGGGTCAGAAGTAGGAGGAGTCAAGGAAAGGCAGTGGAAGAATAGAGAAATGAGAAAGAACCAGTCTGGAATCATTTGCAGGAAGAGCAGTTCAAATCTCTTCTGGGTAAGAACATTCCTGAAGACCTATTGAGACGTCTCCCAAGAAATTCTATGCTGATCTTAAGGACTGCTATCTGACGATGTATCTAACTATAGAGGTAGATACATATGGTGTTGGCGGGGAGAGCTGGTCATCAACGGTATTTTTAAGGCTTCATAGAGACAGTAACAGATTGGGATCTGGTCTGCCGGTGGTAGACGGAAAGGAAATGGTGTGAGACAATTTGCTCATTAAGGTTACTGTTGCTGTGTTGAAACATTGTGTCCAAAAGTAACTTGAGGAGGAAAGGGTTTATTTAGTTTGCTTTTCCCGAGCCTGCTGAGGGAAGCCAATGCAGGAACTCAAACCCAGAGGCAGGAGCTGATGCAGAGACAATGGAGAGGTGCTGCTTACTGACTTGCTCCTCGTGACTTGCTCAGTCTGCATCCTTATAGAACGCCTAGGATCACCAGTTCAGGTGTGGCATCACCTACAAAGGGCTGCCCCCCCCTTTATCAATCACTAATTAAAAGACTGTCCTTAAGCAGTGGTTCTCAACCTTCGTAATCCTGCAACCCTTTAACACAGTTCCTCGTGTTGTGGTGACCTCCAACCATAAAATTATTTACGGCAACTTCATAACCATAATTTTGCTGCTCTTATCAATTGAATTGTAAATACCGGATTGCAGGATATCTGGGCTGCAGCGCCCAAAGCATCATGGCCCACAGGTTGAGAACTGCTCCTCTACAGGTTTGCCTACAGTCCAATCTTATGGAGGCATTTTTTTTTTCAATTCAGATGTCTCCTCTTAGATGTCTCTAGCTTGTGTCAAGTTGACATAAAACTAGTCAACACAATGAGACTGTTAAGTTAGAACCAACATGCAACAGGACTGAGCATGTCAATGCAAGCAGAATGCAGAGAGCATCGTGTGCCCTAACTCGTTGAAGGCCCATGACAGTTCGGGGGGGGGGGGGAGACACTCTGTTGCCAGCTTTCCTCTGCAGATTAAGGAGTGGGGGCTGAGAGAGCTTGCGTGACTGATTCAAGGTTTCATGCTAGAATGCGAGTTCCCACTCAAGCTGTACGAGGAGCCCAGGAAGGAGCTCTATGGCACAGTTCTAAAGATCTTCTCTGGACTGGAAACTTTGGGATTCTCCTGAAGGAAATGCTGGTGCATGTTTGTCTCTGTGGCTCAGTGTCGTGGACACACACAGTCTTCAGAACTGGCTTCAAATCTCAGGGCTCCGTATCTTTATAAGATGTTGGTCACTGTAATAATTTATGCCTCAGTTTTCTGATACAAATTAGAATAACAACAATGACTTCTTGACAAAATGTGAGATTTACCTGCCAGTATCCCATGGTTGGGGAGCTCCAGGCTCCTGGGGTGAGCTGAGCCTTTTGCTGTCTTTCTGTGAAGCATGCTATCAACCTTCCATCTGAATTCCATTTGCTGTGCACATAGCCCAGTGCAGCTCGCAGATCTCACCAGAGACGTGGTTAATACAGAAGACCACAACTGGCCAAAGTGTGGAAAACAAGTGTCAGTCAGGAGAGTGCTCGGCCACAAAGGTTCCATTGTTTTCACACCCTTCCTCCACAACGTCTCAGGGACCATCAGAGAAGAGGGGACAGAGGGATTGCAAGAGCCAAAAGTTGAGGAGGACCAGAGCCAACCAGTTTATTCTGGACAGGGCAGGACCTCTGTGGTCATGAGCTCACAGCACTGTGGTTGCCTGTAAAAGGTGTGCTGGAGACAAAGCCAGTGACATTCTAGTTTAGAGCCAGGGAGGGGATCATGAGCCCCACTCCTCTCTGAGAAGCCATGAACAGTGGATGACTTCCAGGGGAGGGAGAGTCCGTGTCACCCCAGGTAGGTCGGTCACATCCAGTGGAGGCCTGGCACAAAGTGGCTTGGTTATTTTTCAAAAGAGAACAAGCAGGAGGGATGGGTGTTGACTGAGGTTTCTGTCCCTCCAGGTCCCACAGCCATTTAGCCCCAAAGAAACACACAGATGTCTACATTAATTGTAAACTGATTGGCCTATTAGGCTTCTTATTAATGCTCATAACTTATATTAGCCCATAATTCTTACCTGTGTTAGCCACGTAGCTTGGTACCTTTTTTGAGAAGGCAGTCACCTCTTACTTCCTCTGTGTCTGTGTCTGGGTAACTGCAGACTGAAACTTCCCTCTTCCCAGAATTCTCGTTGCCCTGCCTCTACTTCCTGCCTGGTCGCTCCACCTATACTTCCTTCCTGACTACTGGCCAATCAGCGTTTATTAAAATAAAAGCGGCAGGGTACAGACCATTGTCCCCCAGGAGATAGGGTGGATCTCAGAAGAATTAGGGAAAGGAGCGGAAAGTGAGTATGATCAAAATATATTAAATGGAATTTTCAAAAATCAACAAAATATCATATTCAAAAAGAAAACCCAAAATAGAGTGTAATGAGGTTTAAGTGTGAGAATGTACGAGAAACCAGTTTGTTAACTACCAAGTTGCAATTAAATAGAAACTACTAGAAAGTCTTGTGTATGTTAGGGAATGGTCAGGGCAGTCATCAGGCTGTTGGAGTTGCTTGGAAACGTGTAATGGTGGATGAAGACTGATGAGCAGATTCCACACTAAGGCAGGGGCAGTGGGGATGGAGAGGGAAGATAATTAAGAGCCAATTAGGGCAGCTTACAAGCAGGACCGGCTAGATGTGGAGGAAGTAGATAACAGAGGTCAGCACAGTTCAGAGTTTTATGCGAAGTCATGGGGAAGATGGTGATGTCATCAATTAAGATGGAAGAGTGGGCGGGGTGAAGTACTCTATTCCAGGAATACTCCGAGGAGGTGTCTATGAGACATGCAGCAAGTGGAGACGGTGGAAGGTGAGTGGGCCTCTGTGTGGGGGCTCAGGAAGCAATGAGCTGTAGATTCAGATAAGGACATCACTTGGCGTTGGTGGGACTGAGGCTAGGTATTATAAAACCTAACAAGATGGTATGGTCATGGGGCCTCCCCACTCTCAAACAAAAATAAATTCCTGTGTCAAAATGCAATTTTCAAGGCTCATCAAAATGTAGTTTTTCTGGTTGAATCCAGAGTGAGTAGCCGGGGGCCCACTTTTTGGGGAAGCCTCTGGCTGGGACTACCTTGAAACCAGTTTCAGAGCTACTAGCTCGGGACAAGAAGCCAGGAGAAAAAAGGGTTAACTGTCACACCACAGTTGAAAGAATGTGGTTAGGAGGTCCTAAGCCAGGTAACAGGGGAGCTTTAGCTGGGAGTGTTGTTTGCTCTGCTGTCTCCAGACTTGAATTCACCTGGGAGCTTCATCCAGTCCTAAGCAGTTCTGATGTCTTTCAAAGTCAGCTGAGTGCGCAGCCGGATACTGATCTGCAAGTCCATGCATACTGGTGTTCTAGCTTATCAGCAAAGGGTTGTCATGTCCACACCTGTTGGGTCATTACTGTGGAGATAACCACCTTTGTGCCTGTCCCCACGGAGAATTACCTGACCTGTGTTACTATCCACTCAGACAGCTAGTCAACAAAAATTATCTCAAGTACTTGAAATTGTAAGCTATGTAAAAAGTCGAATTGGTTCAACTATGTGATTATCATTTCAACACAGTGAAAGTTTTAATCCTACATCCACCAATGTATGCCGTCATTTAGCCACGAAGAAAGAACTACAGTCTAGGGAGACGTTGCATGGATAAGATGCTTGACATGAAAGTATTTGTACCTGAGTTATGGCACCATGTAAACACTAGGCACAGTGGCACACATTTGGAAATCCAGTCCTAGGGATGGGGACCCGTGGGTGGATCCCCGGAGCTCATTATCCAGTCAGGGTAACTGAACGGAGAGAGCAATAAGGGAAGGTAGTTATTACCAACCTCTGGCCACCACACGCGCACACACACACACAGAGAGAGAGAGAGAGAGAGAGAGAGAGAGAGAGAGAGAGAGAGAGAGAGAGAGAAAGAGAGAGGAACACATCATAAGAAATAATAGGAGTGAGACAGAGGGGCCAAAAGAAAGAAGAGTAGCAACGGGAAATGCATTGAGAGCTACTAAAATAAATAGAAAACCGGAACTTTACTATTTACGATAACAAAACTTTCTCACTTTCTCCAAGTTCACAGTCCTGTGCATACAAATGATTGGCATGTGGCTACTTGTTTGTGATTTCATCTTCTTTTAGAGGTCTCTTTGGGTCCTGTGCCACCCAGTGAGCAGAGTAGGGTGGGAGACACCCAGGACTTTCACTGGGTCAGAGGAAGCGGAATACCTCATTCTGAACAGAGCAAGTCCCGGGTTATCCCTGTGTTCTGGGAAAGACAGTCCAGCTGAGTGCCTGTGTGTGTGTGTGTGTGTGTGTGTGTGTGTGTGTGTGTGTGTGTGTAAGCCTACAGTGTGAGCAGCCCGCCAGGCTGTGCCGCAGATGGAGGATCTACAGACAAGGTTGGTGAAAACCGGGGCAAAGGCCTCTCGTGTGTATTCATTGATCCGTCTTCCTCTTTCGGTGGTCTGTATCCGAATGCTCAGCCAGGGTGAAATCGACGACCCCCACCCTGCCACAGATTTCAGCCAATCTGCAGGCAGGAATGAACGGCTGCACATTCAGACAGAGGGTCCAGAGAAAATGCTCCTCCCATAAGGGTAAGCCTCAGTTCTTAGAATGTCACTCACAGCCCTTTCTTTCAAGCGTGAAATAAAATACGTGTGTCTGTTAGATGCAGCAGATCATTTGTTAGATAAACTTTTCTTTACAAACTTCATAGGAAGACTTCTTCATTCTTATCCAAAATAATTTTTTTTTAAAAAAAAAAGAGTTTTAAAAATCTAGACACATACCCAGTGAGTCATAGAATAGCTGGAATTCTGACAGAAAGATGACTGTAGAAAGGAACGGCTCTGCTTTATTTAAACCCCACAAAGGAGGTAAGTGCTTGATGGGCCATGGATTTCTTAACACAAGGCGTTATGCAACGAGTGGTCCCGCTTTGAAGTCATTTCTCCTTTGTTCTTCCTGCACACCGTGGACACGCAGCTCGGTTTCATCCTGGGGTCTGGGAGGCTATTGGGTTAGACCTCCTGAAAAGAAAGGCTATTTGACAGCGTGTTTAGGGGAACGCTTTGATGAATTACAGAATTCAAGCCCTCAGTTCTTGGCAGGGGAGCGCTCCTCACCAGTGTGTTGAAAGAGAAGCCACTGTATGATCACAGGCTCCAGGCTAGAGCCACAGAACTGGGCTGGTTTTTGGCAGATGAGGCAGGTCACCGGGCTGCTGTCTACTAGACAATGTTTGAGCAGGACCAGCAGACAAAGACGTTTCATCCCTCAAAGAAGAAGTAGGAGAGGGCCAGTAACTTTGCATCTTATGGAGAATGTAAGTAAGGATCGATTGATCCAGCAAATGTGTTCTCATTTGGAATTCTCACAAACATTTCCCATCAGCCTTAGGGCCTGTAGTATGCCATTGGTTCAATATCTGACGAGAAAAGAAAAAGCTACCCCAGAAAATAAAAATGCACATCTATACACACCACACATGCATGCATGCACACACATGCATGCACACACACGCATGCGCACCTAAACACACACACGACATTAAACATGCAAAAAGCAGATGTTTAGTCTTCTTGTGACAAAAATTCTAAGTGTGAATTCGCTAATTCGCTCAATCCAGCCATTTCACAGCACACACATGTTCTGAAGCATGTATATAATAAATATACACTTTAAAAAAGAGCAAGCGACTTGGAGTGAGCCGATCTGAGAAACCAGGTACAGCAGAGAGCACGCTGGCTGGAGCACCAGCGCACCCAGGTTTCCTCCTCTGCCACAAATTCACCGACAAACCAATTACTTCAGGTCTTTGGGCCTCAACTTCTTTATCCATAAAAGGAAGAGGTTATGACAGACCAGGAGAACTCAGCTTTGGCTGTTTGTTATCAATGCCTGGAGGCAGTTTATGACCCCCAGAGTTTGGATCACAACCTGCACTGACTATATCAGGATATCTGGGGATTGGACTTGGGTGAATTCTTTGCATCATTCCTAGATGATTCCTGGGTGCATCTAAAGCTGAGAACTGCGACACCCAATGACTCACTGAGGCTTTATGGACCCAAGTGTCTTTGATTCTAATAGGTGATGTAGATGGTAACACTGACATATTCAGGAAGTCCGTCTGAGCATTCTGTGTGACTAGTCACATGGAGAAGCCTATTGTCATCATTCACTGATTAGATAGTCAAATATATGTTGCATGATCGTTATGATCGACCCAGGAACTGCACCGAGGACCTGAACAGGGCAGACATGGTCTCTTCCTTATATAACCAACGATGCAGCAGAAGAGGAGCTAAATAATCCCACAGCAGTGTTCCTGTGACGGACAGCGCTAGGCTCAGAGAGATGCACATTTGAGGAGCACCATTCATAAATCTCAAATGTATTCTTCAAGGTCTATGAATAAAAAGCAAAATACACCCCTAGACTTGGTGTTCTATCTCACCTAGGTTGTTCGCTCATGGTAATTCAGCTTTCAGCAAACATTTCTAGTTTGGATTTTGATATTCAGACAGTCCAGCGTGGTCCTGAAACTGCCTCTGGAGACGCCACAGTGCCTATAGAAAGCGTAACCACTTCCATTTACCATCTCCTTTCACTCAAAATAGCAAGGAGCCTCGCTTCAAGAATTCAGCTGGTGATGCATGTCACCTTTGCTGAGATAAGAAACGGATGGCACTCCGGTGTTCTGAGACCGCAGAGCAACGACCAACACTGTGATTTACATAGAAATAATCAGACACGATTCAAAAGCCAAAGAAAAATCTCAGTTTAAGAATAACTCTTAGATTGGGTCATCTTTACTGAGACAGAATGTGATCTAAAAGGCCAAAACAGCTACAGACATGGCTCGGCAGGCAAAGCCGCTCGCCGCCAAGCATGATGGTTTGTGTTTCATCCCTGGAATCCACGGGCAGAAGAAGAGACTCAGTTTCCACGAATCATCCTCTGATATTTGCATGTACGCTGTGGCATGCAAGCCTGAGCACCAGTGCAAGATGCATGCACGCGTGTACATGCACATACACATGCGCCCACACACACTCATGCAAGCCTGAGAACTAGTGCAGGAGTGCATTGCACACACATACATATGCACATACACATATGCA